ACAAGTGTATAAATAGTTCTACAGCTACAGCCTGGGTCTGTACAAGTGTACAAATAGTTCTACAGCTACAGCCTGGGTCTGTACAAGTGTATAAATAGTTGTACAGCTACAGCCTGGGTCTGTACAAGTGTATAAATAGTTGTACAGCTACAGCCTGGGTCTGTACAAGTGTATAAATAGTTGTACAGCTACAGCCTGGGTCTGTACATGTGTATAAATAGTTCTACAGTTACAGGTTGGGTCTGTACAAGTGTAAATAGTTCTACAGCTATAGGCTGGGCCTGTACAAGTGTATAAATAGTTCTACAGCTACAGCCTGGGTCTGTATACTTGGAACAGCAAGTTACAATAGTGCATAGTACAATATTACAATAGAGCAATAGTACCAAGTTTAAAATTCCTTCACTCAATTAATATTCACTTCACTTGGCCGCAGATCGAACGTACTCCCCTGGTGGACACTCTTCGCTAACGAGACCAAAGTCGTGATTTACGGCACCGTTTCTATGTATTTACAGCTTTGGCACAAACTCGCCGTGAATTTTAAACACCCAGAATCCTGGCATGACGTCTTAGCGGTTAAGAAGATGTCTACTGGCCTGCCGATCTCCAAAATCTAAAACTTTTTATAACTTCCCATGTTTTTAATCTCTACGTTATCCTCACTTTGTTTAATCTTAAAAATTCTCAAACATTTCTATTTGACGATAATATCACATGCCAAATATTGGGAGTTTTATTGCAGAATCTGTATAAATATTACATGGGTATTGTTTGTTTTTTCACATCGGTGTTATGTTCTGTATGAAACATTATATTATCCAAACTGTCGTACACCGGTGTTATGTTTTAATTTGTTTCGGTATATAACACACGCCAATCCAAACTGTCGTACACCGGTGTTATGTTTTAATTTGTTTCGGTATATAACACACTTGGTTTAAAATTACGCTTTAATATTTTAATTTTCATAATAACTCCGTTTACATCGTTCTCAACCAGAGATAAATCATAAATATATTATGAAAGACATTTCTGTATTTTAATCGGCATAATCCACAGTCTACCTCTCCGTACATGACAACGACGAACGTATAAATTTTTAATTAAGGTACAATAATATTTATTTACACTGTACTTGACTTATATGTAAACTTTCCATATGGAATCAAGCAGACCTGTTTGTTTTTTGACTGATCCGTGATGTCTGTCCGTAGTTGACCCTTGTCCACTCCGTGTCTACTGCCGCTGTTCCCTGGTTCTTTCGACTCACCCCAAGATTAACTAAAGTACCCGTATGCGTCAGTTATTCATAACATAATTTATCTGAGTCTAAGAAAATTCGGAAAACAAATGTTTTAAAATATAAATATTAATTTTTTCAAATGGGAATGAACTTAGTTATAACACAACTTTTCCATCCCATCTTCAAACTGTATGTATGTCTGTGTTGACGACAAAATCTCCAATATAACTCGAGAGACATCTCATTGCCAGATCCCATATTTGGTTACTGTCTTCGTTGCAGGTAAGGCCTAGCTAAACACGATAACATGTAATACAAATTGTACCGAGACATTTTACAATATTGAAGTGTTCAGTTTCTGTCTTTATTTACATCTCCAGTTAAAACATAACCGGATATTTCTAGCATTTTATATGATCGATAAGACACGGTATTAAAATGTTCATTTGGTTTCAATGAGCAACTGTCTTGTCCGTTTAGAAACGGACTACATAACACTTGAGATGGTTGCTACATGACACGCTATGTAACACTTGAGACGGCTGCTACATGATAGGCTATGTAACACTTGAGATGGTTGCTACATGATAAGCTATGTAACACTTGAGACGGTTGCTACATGATAAGCTATGTAACACTTGAGATGGTGCTACATGATAAGCTATGTAACACTTGAGATGACTGCTACATGATAAGCTATGTAACACTTGAAATGATTGCTACATGATAAGCTATGTAACACTTGAGACGGCTGCTACATGATAAGCTATGTAACACTTGAGACGGCTGCTACATGATAAGCTATGTAACATTTGAGATGGTTGCTACATGATAAGCTATGTAACATTTGAGATGGTTACTACATGATAAGCTATGTAACACTTGAGACGGCTGCTACATGATAAGCTATGTAACACTTCGAGACGGCTGCTACATGATAAGCTATGTAACACTTGAGATGGTTGCTACATGATAAGCTATGTAACACTTGAGACGGCTGCTACATGATAAGCTATGTAACACTTGAGACGGCTGCTACATGATAAGCTACGTAACACTCGAGACGGCTGATACAGGATAAGCTACGTAACACTCGAGACGGCTGCTTGCGCTACAGTGGGACCCCTATCTTGATGAGTGTGAGAGTTCCATGCCCTCTTCGTGAGGAATGCCCTGTCACAACCATCCCCAGAACACACCAAAAGTTCCCCCGCATGCAACGTCTCGTAATGACTCTTCATGTGTTCACCCTCTTTAAATCTTTTTTCACAAAATTCACATGTGTACTGCCCTTCCGAGTTGGGAAGAAGATTCTCGTCTAATGTAACAGATGTAGAACGATTTATTTGGTTTTCTTTTGGTAGTGTAATCTTCGCCTGTCGACCAGAAAGTGTCGTAAGAGGAGTCTCACGAACGTTTATATCTAACCGTCCAGCAATCACTTCTGGGAAGGAAGAGGTATTGGTAGAAAGTAATAATGCTGGGTGAAAGGGTAATGCATGACTTGTAAACACAGTATTAGCATCCATATCCTCTCGCCTACAAGTATGAATTCTTCCTTGATAGAAGTCTACGTAGGCCTGGGGGTCGTACAGACGTGAGATTAGATCGTCTCTCAAAGCATCAACTTGGTAAGGATATGTACTGGTTATTTTCAAGACTCCAGAGCTCGTGGACAATAACTTTCTGTGGAGATTTATATTGGCACTATGCCTGTCTCGACTACGCTTCGACGGGAAAGCAGCGTTACAGCCTTCCATTGTACATTTATGCATGAGTTTAAGGTGGACATTTTGATAATGTGTTTTAACACCAAAATGGTTCTGGAAGACCTTGCCACAAGTTATGCACCGCCTTGGGTTTTCTTTGTCCACTGGGATGCCACTGTCCACTGTGAGAGAAAAGCTTTGGTCAATGCTGGGATTTGAGTCCTGGTCAGTGGAACTTAGCCCTTGCGGGGAAGAAATGGCGTCTTTATTTGTTCCACAGGCGTCTTCTGTCGACACGGGTGCTGCCAGGCCTAAACCTCGAGCATGGAACGATATTCCAGCAGATTTGGATAAATGGTTACTTATCAGACTCCGTACTGGAGTTTTTACTTTATTAGTGTAGACATTCATGGACAAATTCTCAAGGTAGTGGAGCGGATTCTCACAATTTTCAGAAATAACAGGTTTATCCTCTTTAAATCTAATGTTCACCGGTTCCTCTTCTTCTAATACTTCTATGCTAAGCTTATCTTTATTGAATTCGCCATCTTTCGAATCGCCACATACGTTTTCGGATTTTGACTCGAAAAGATCGACGTCGTCATTTTCCTCAACTTGGTTCATGAATGTATCACTAGAGGACTCTCCAGTTGACACGTATTGTATCTCGTTATTACTAGTAACAGCACACTTGGTTGGTTTGAAACTTTTTCTTTTACGCACACCTTTGTTAATGATTGAGGAGTTTAGCTTAATGGACAGATTGGTACTTTTATAACCAGGGTTGGAAGTAGACAGATTCATACTTTCAGATCCAGGTTTAGTATTATTTACATTTTTTCTGAGTTGTGATTCTTGGCGAGAAAACTAATTCCAATGTCTTCACTAGTTGATTTTAGAGGTTCGAATGATACTGAAATATCATTTGTGATATGATTATTAGATGGCAACTGAGAGGAATTCAAAAGATCCGTAGAGTCTCGGTCTGGTATTGAAGAACTGAAGTTAAGTGACACGTTATTGTTCTTTAATTTGACACTTGAAGAAAGGGCAGGGTAAGGATTGGCTACTCGTCCGTCATGAGGATTCATCTTTCTTCTAAAAGTTGGAGTGTGAAGTTTAGGGTTAGGATTGGCACTATGGCGGTTCCGGCTTCGTCTTGAGCTGAACATCATCTTACACCCTTGTACAGTGCACTTATGCATTTCTCTAAGATGTACAGCACTAAAATGAATTTTAAGAGCACCTTTATCACAAAAAGTTTTAAAACATCCGTGACATTGGACCCGTTTCTTTCCAGTGGATTGTCTAGAGTTTAAAACATTCAGTTCTAATGGGTACCAACGTCTCTTCACAGGGTTGCATACGTTCTTCACCTTTTTAGTAAGGTAATTCGAATTAGAAGTATAGGTTCCTTTCTGACTTATACTGATTAATATCTTGTTGTCTTCATCCGACCCGCAATCTGTGGCGCTGAGATCGGAGTTCAAGATGGCGGTGGTGTTAGTGTAGTTAGATTGAGCAGTACTGATAGCATTATTGGAGGTTTGTGGGGTTATCCGGGACGGACCAAGAACACCACTAGAATAATGGAGTTCTAGACTAGACTTCTGTCTTCGGAAGTCGTATGGTTGAAGGTTGTTTAGAGATAGCGAGCTACTGTAGTTTACAGGAGAGTCTGTAGAGGGTGATAGAGGATGAGTGGAACTGCCACTAGAAGGATCTATATAATAAGATGGCCGATAGGATGAAGATACAGTTGATAAGTTTGACAACACCTTCTCTTGTTTTACTATGTCTGCTCTGGCTACTTTGTTGGTCATCTCGTCTTTTACTATGTCTGCTCTGGCTACTTTGTTGGTCATCTCGTCTTTTACCATGTCTGCTCTGGCTACTTTGTTAGTTCTTTCGATAAATCTACGAATATCAGAGTCTGTTTTGAGTATTTCATCAGGTTTCTTATCACACTCCAACAGAAGGAGACGTTGGGCGATGGCTTTAGTTTCTCCAAAACGCAGGAATTGCTGGAGAATCAACGGCTCTTCTTCTCGAGTGGTCAGTGTCCACCTTTCCAGGACATTTCCAGTCGCATCCTGGGAAACAAAAAACAGATTATGGTTAGTAAAACAAATTCATTTGTTTTGCGAAACGTGTAACTTTAACAGAGATTCGGGGTAAAGTTGTATCTAATGTTAAATTTAAAAAGTACATGCGTACAATTGTTGTGCATAAAACCAGCGTGGAGTTTGTATCCAGAGTGATCGTCGTTAGTTCGTCTGGAAATGTTTCACTACTGTTCATGTTATTTAAGGAATCAACAATTCAAATTCAGAATTTCCATAGCTTGTTTCTTAAAACATTTCTCTTGTAAAACACCACAAAATGATGAACGCTGGCTATACTTTCAGGTGTCAGTTCTCTAGGGTTCAAACATATAGCAGATCTACATCGTTATCAGCAAGAAATAACAAGTAAACAGTTAAAGATTAGAGAACAGTCGTGTTTTTTATCACCTTACATGATCGCTACATTAATATATATATATATATATTAGAGAACAGTCATGTAATAGAGACGACGTCTCGGACTCTTATCCTCAGGTCGTTAAGAGGATTACAAATGATCAGAACCGTCTTATGTCTAATTCACTTCTAAAACATGTGCCACTTAATGTAAGGTATAAATAACTGATACACAATAACATGGGAAGTAGACTAGTTATAATAACACACTTAATGCAAGGTATAAATAACTGATACACAATAACATGGGCAGTGGACTAGTTATAATAACACACTTAATGCAAGGTATAAATAACTGATACACAATAACATGGGAAGTGGACTAGTTATAATAACACACTTAATGCAAGGTATAAATAACTGATACATAGTAACATGGGAAGTAGACTAGTTATAATAACACACTTAATGCAAGGTATAAATAACTGATACACAATAACATGGAAGTAGACTAGTTATAATAACACACTTAATGTAAGGTATAAATAACTGATACATAGTAACATGAAAAGTAGACTAGTTATAATAACACACTTAATGCAAGGTATAAATGACTGATACACAATAACATGGAAGTAGACTAGTTATAATAACACACTTAATGTAAGGTATAAATAACTGATACATAGTAACATGGAAAGTAGACTAGTTATAATAACACATATAAGTAAGGTATAAATGACTGATACACAATAACATGGAAGTGGACTAGTTATAATAACACACTTAATGCAAGGTATAAATAACTGATACACAATAACATGGGAAGTAGACTAGTTATAATAACACACTTAATGTAAGGTATAAATAACTAATAATACATAGTAACATGGGATGTAGACTAGTTATAATAACACACTTATGTAAGGTATAAATAACTGATACATAGTAACATGGAAAGTAGACTAGTTATAATAATACACTTAATGCAAGGTATAAATAACTGATACACAATAACATGGGAAGTGGACTAGTTATAATAACACACTTAATGCAAGGTATAAATAACTGATACATAATAACATGGGAAGTAGACTAGTTATAATAACACACTTAATGTAAGGTATAAATAACTGATAATGTTAAATGTACAACATTAACATTAATAATGACAGTAAAAAGTACTAAAAATAACGTATTTTTTACAATGTACAAAAAACAGTATATCTTGTTCACTGGTAAGAAACAAAGGTCACTCCAGTGGACATACAGACAAACTTACCCGGAGGACGTATCTTGTTCACCAATCAGTAACAAGGACCCCTACAGTAGACCTACAGACAAACTTACCTGACGAATATATCTTGTTCAGCAATCAGAAATAAGGACCACTAGAGTTGACATACAGACAGCCTTACCTGAAGAATGTATTTTGTTCACCAATCAGAAACAAGGACCACTACAGTGGACCTACATACATACTTACCTGAAGAATGTATCTTGTTCAACAATCAGTAACAAGGACCACTAGAGTGGACCTACAGACAAACGTACATGAAGAATGTATCTTGTTCAACAATCAGAAATAAGGACCACTAGAGTGAACATACAGACAGCCTTACCTGAAGAATGTATTTTGTTCACCAATCAGAAACAAGGACCACTACAGTGGACCTACATACATACTTACCTGAAGAATGTATCTTGTTCAACAATCAGTAACAAGGACCACTACAGTGGACATACAGACAAACTTACCTGAAGAATGTATCTTGTTCAACAATCAGAAATAAGGACCACTAGAGTGGACCTACAGACAGCCTTACTTGAAGAATGTATCTTGTTCACCAATCAGAAATAAGGACCACTAGAGTGGACCTACAGACAAACGTACATGAAGAATGTATCTTGTTCACCAATCAGAAACAAGGACCACTACAGTGGACATACAGACAGCCTTACCTGAAGAATGTAGCCTCGAACATAGTCTTCGTAAGTCCAACCAAAACACTGAAGCACACGTAGAACTTCATCATATTGAAGAACACTGAATATACGATCCAGAAGAATTTTGAGTCTAATTGGAATTGCTTGAGTACCAAATAATACCAATGATGCAACATCAAACGCAATACAATCTTGAATCAGCTCCATCTGGTGGCAGTTGTACAGATGTCGAAAACCGAGTTTGCCTAAAGCTAAAGAAACAAAATTCGCTCTCTTCGTTAAGTATACCAAATCAGTTGTCCAGTTTTCAGTATTCATAATTACAAAATAGCCGCCAGAGTTTTTTTTTTGTACGTGATACCGTGAAAAAAAGGCGTTGCTCGTAACTGCAAAAATATTTTTAAAAACATATATTAAATTATCGCTTCTTTGCACGGATTCAGTTGTTTATATTTCAAAACAAAATGGGAAAAGAATTATGAATAAACAACAAATCTAAAGAAGTAAGAAGAAGAAAATGACGAGAAGATGAAACCAACAAAGGCGAGTAACAAAGCAAAAACAAAAGAAAATTGAAGAATTGTAGACAGTTCATAGAAAGATATAAAATGAAAAGTTAACAGAAGACAGAGAAGAAACCGATGAGAAGATATGTATGGAAGATGATCTACAGGAAAAGGTAGGTATTTAAGAGAATAAGAAGGAAATCTAAAAGGAAATAAATCTGGAAATAATAGAATTAAATTGAAATAATGCTGGTAGCATTACAGTTTACATTTCAGGGTTAAATAACGTTGCATGGTTACAATCTAGTTTACATTTCAGGGTTAAATAACGTTGCATGGTTACAATCTAGTTTACATTTCAGGGTTAAATAACGTTGCATGGTTACAATCTAGTTTACATTTCAGGGTTAAATAACGTTGCATGGTTATAATCTAGCTTACATTTCAGGGTTAAATAGCGTTGCATGGTTACAATCTAGCTTACATTTCAGACTTAGATAAGGTTGGTTACAAAAAAGTTAGGTAAAACTGGATACAATACAGTTCACACTTCCAAGTTAGAAAAACTAGATACAATATAGTTTACACTTCAGAGTTAGATAAAACTGGATACAATATAGTTTACATTTCAGAGTTAGATAAAACTGGTTACAACATAGTTCACACTTCAGAATTAGATAAAACTGGATATAATATAGTTTACACTTCAGACTTAGATAAAACTGGATATCATATAGTTTACACTTCAGACTTAGATAAAACTGGATAGAATATAGTTTACACTTCAGACTTAGATAAAACTGGATAGAATATAGTTTACACTTCAGATTTATATAAAACTGGATATCATATAGTTTACATTTCAAGGTTAGATAAAACTGGTTACAATACAGTTCACATTACAGGGTTAAAAACGTTGCATGGTTACAATCTAGTTTACATTTCAAACTTAGATAAAACTGGATATAATATAGTTTACATTTTAGGGTTACATAAAACTGGTTACAATATAATTCACACTTCAGAGTTAGATAAGATTGATTACAATATAGTTTACACTTCAGAATTAGATAAAACTGGATATAATATAGTTTACATTTCAGAGTTCGATAAAACTGGTTACAGTATAGTTCACACATCAGAGTTAGATAAAACTGGTTACAGAATAGTTCACACATCAGAGGTAGATGAAACTGGTTACAGTATAGTTCACACATCAGAGTTAGATAAAACTGGTTACAGTATAGTTCACACATCAGAGTTAGATAAAACTGGTTACAGTGTAGTTCACACATCAGAGTTAGATAAAACTGGTTACAGTATAGTTCAGACATCAGAGTTAGATAAAACTGGTTACAGTATAGTTCACACATCAGAGTTAGATAAACTGGTTACAGTATAGTTCACACATCAGAGGTAGATGAAACTGGTTACAGTATAGTTCACACATCAGAGTTAGATAAAACTGGTTACAGTATAGTTCACACATCAGAGGTAAATAAAACTGGTTACAGTATATTTCACACATCAGAGGTAGATAAAACTGGTTACAAAATAATTCATACTTCAGAGTTAGATAAGATTGATTACAATATAGTTTACACTTCAGAATTAGATAAAACTGGATATAATATAGTTTACATTTCAGAGTTCGATAAAACTGGTTACAGTATAGTTCACACATCAAAACAAGTTTTTTATTCTCAGATTTTAAAACAGGTGAAAGAAAAAGTCAAGCAACATCATTATTTCAAAATGTTTAAGGTTACACTTCGCAAATTAGGCTTAATACACTTCGCAAGTTAGGCCTAATACTGTCTTTATGTCTGAATGTTTGTTTTTGGTTATCGCTTGGATAACCCAAACCTCAAAAAGGAATAATTTAAACTTTTCCATTAGTAATGTTACTGATAACTTCAAAAACGTTTATGTTAAGTCCTAAAGCAGATAGGTGTTAAACACAGAAATCAGTAGGTTTCAAAATCTTGTTTATTATTTCATTTTTCGGTATGTTCTGGTTTAATGTATAAAACGTCCTACATTTATCCAAACTCTTGGAATGTATTTGTACAATATAACTAAGAAATTTTAATTATCTGTGCCGCAGCCATTTCTGGTTTATATCAATCAATATCAAGTCAGCTCATGGACGAGACTTAACTCATCATTTATTGCTAAACAAAGCCAGTCATTCCTCGAGCAGGGTACACGAGGAATTCACTTCCTCTATGGGGTTGTAGTCGTGCAGCATATTTTTTGAACTCAGCTCGTGATTTAAAAGCATGCTCTAGATTCCCACAGATGCATGTAAAGATCATATGCAACTGTCAATAAAACAAGCTTCTAGGATTGGTAACTGACACGTACTATTAAAAATACTCTGACTAAATACTTGTGTGGGTGTGGACAAGGAGCTGCTCAGACCAATAAGGTAGTCTGGCTGCGTCTAACCAACGATGAAAATGAGATTTGCACCAATTTTTCATGGCAACAGAGGCGACAACCCACGTGTTAGAGATTGAAATAACCAGCTTCAAGCATAATCGTGACTACCGTAGTGCATTCAGGCAGTCGTGAGAAGGTAATCCTTTTTACTTAAAGATAGTTCTTCTGCCACTGGTGGCCTTGATGCACGAGATTACAAAACACTTTTAATAAGGCGGTATGGTATTCATGAGCTCTCGGAAATGGTACTTAAAAAATCAACGGACACTTAACCTACTGGAATTGGAGGCGGAGGAAAAAATAAAGAAGAAAGCAAGTCCGTGATGTGTGTTTGGTCCTCGTGGAAGACTGATTGTTCCAAACATGGCGTCAGCTAGAAAGAAAACGAACGAAGGTTGGCCCGAGGGATTTAATACTTAGAACTGAAAGTTGAAGGTGTGGTTATGGTGTCGTTGGCACATATTTCGATAATGATAGTCCTGACATCTTGCTTAATACCTATATAATACTGCCACAGTATGGTAAAATCATCGCTAATCTTCCAAACACGACAGTTTGAGTAAAGCAGATGACGATTCTGGAGTGTTTAGAAACACCGGAAAACAAAACAGTCTTGGATAATTAAAATTAAGCTTTTAGGACAAGATAAGTGGAATATACATCAGAAACTTTTTGTATAAGATAAATGAAACGTACATCACAGGACAGAAACTTTTTGTATAAGATAAATGGAACATACATCACAGGACAGAAACTTTTTGTATAAGATATATGGAACGTACATCACGGAACAGAAACTTTTTGTATAAGATAAATGGAACGTACATCACAGGACAGAAACTTTTTGTATAAGATAAATGGAACGTACATCACATGACAGAAACTTTTTGTATAAGTGGAACAAACATCACGGAACATAAACTTTTTATATAAGTGGAACATACATCACGGAACAGAAACTTTTTATATAAGTGGAACATACATCACAGGACAGAAACTTTTTATATAAGTGGAACATACATCACAGAACAGAAACTTTTTATATAAGTGGAACATACATCACAGGACAGAAACTTTTTATATAAGTGGAACATACATCACAGGACAGAAACTTTTTATATAAGTGGAACATACATCACAGGACAGAAACTTTTTATATAAGTGGAACATACATCACGGAACAGAAACTTTTAGGAGAAGTTAAGTGGAAAAAACATCATGGAACATGAAGAATTTCAAAACATGAAAAGCCATGTAATAATAGGATAAAACGTTAAGTAGCGTAACGCAAGTAACGTAATACGATATGATCATGTTGACATTGTTATAGATCAAGGTAACGAAATACGATGTGATCATGTTGACATTGTTATAGATCAAGGTAACGTAATACGATGTGATCATGTTGACATTGTTATAGATCAAGGTAACGTAATACAATGTGATCATGTTGACATTGTTATAGATCAACGTAACGTAATACGATGTGATCATGTTCACATTGTTATAGATCAACGTAACGTAATACGATGTGATCATGTTGACATTGTTATAGATCAAGGTAACGTAATACTATGTGATCATGTTGATATTATTGTAGATCAAGGTAACGTAATACAATGTGATCATGCTGACATTGTTATAGATTAAGGTAACGTAATACGATATGATCATGTTGACATTGTTATAGATCAAGGTAACGTAATACAATGTGATCATGTTGACATTGTTATAGATCAAGGTAACGTAATACAATGTGACCACGTTTATATTAGTATACATCAAGGTAACGTTATACAATCTGATCATGTTGATATTGGTATAGATCAAGGTAACATAATACAATATGATCATGTTGATATTAGTATTGATCAAAGTAACGAAATACAATATAATCATGTTGATATTATTGTAGATATTGTATATTAATTACTGATTACTAATACGTCACAATACTACACACATCCAAAAAAATATCTGATACACTGAATTGCAAGATTGGACTCTACGCTTGCTTTGTACGGAGACCCTACACAGGATAGGCATTGACACAAATAAAGAAAAACACGCACGCCACTTTAATCGTACTCAAGCCTAAAGCTACCCAGTCCAAATACACAATACTCAGCTTTGTACTTGTCTCTGGCCTCGTATACCAGGCTTTGAGAGAAACACCCAGCCACCATCTATCATAAGGTGTCAAACACAACGGTGGGTGCAACAAGTTGTCACGTTGGTGCTCTATTAACCACTTGTTCAACCCCAAATAAGTGGCTTAGATACCAGGACCTGCATATGTTCTATAATTACCTTTTGAGGTGAGAAACGGAAACGAGGGTTGATTATAACCGGAAACATTTTTAAGAA